AACAAAAATCTTCTAGCTGCTTTTGTCAGAAGCAGTTTTTGACCATCAAAACTGGTTAGAAGTTTATTTTAAGCCTTGGTTTTAGGGTTAAATTTAGAATTAAGCTTAGCTTAGGGTCTGCTTAGTTTTGATGGTTAACTTGAGGGGTAACTTGGGATTGTGTAAATGTCCTCCCAAACAAGCATGTTTGCCCCTCACCCTAAGCACAGAGTGGCGCAAGCAACAGTTACTGTAGGTAATATTTCAGCATCAAATAAGAGAACGGGTGATCCAAATGACCTCAAACTTAGCATCACATCAAATTGTTACCCAAGCAACACACTTGCCAAGTTTGAAGCAGATCACGTGTACAGTTTTAGAGATAAGCGAAGAGCAAATAGACGTGGAGATTTCTCCAACTGTTCTCAAACATGTGATGGTGTTCAGCACACAGCAACTTTATTTTACTCTGTTTCTCTGATTATGATTGTGTGTGTGTGTGTGTGTGTGTGTGAGGATGCGCATGTACATAATGTCGAGTGGGAGTTCAGACATTCCCCTCCACAATAAAAGCGTTGTGCACCTCACAAAGCCTTCCCTGTGTGGATGCGGGCCGGGGGCGACGAAGGGGATACTCTGTCTTTATCAAACAGCCTTTAGCGAGTCCTGTGTGTGAATGGTGTTTTTTATGAAAGCACAGGCTCGCTGTGAGGCCATCTGAGACTTCTGAGGATGAGCACAATCCTAAAATATGAGCTGCAGATGAAGTGGAGGGAAAGAAGTCTGACTCAAGCAGCTGGCTTTCTTTTCCTTTTTTCCTACTAAGTGGAGCCTCTTATTCGGAATCTACTCCCATTTCAGCGCAGACATAGTTGGCTCAGAGCTTGGTGAAATTGAGAAACTCATTTTGTTTATTCACACGCGGAAATATTGTGACATTTAAGAGTGTGTGTGTGTGTGTGTGAACTGTAGTTTAGCTTGCGTACATGCCAAACCATCTGGCGTGCAGATCCCAGAGGCAGTGGAGGGGATTATTAAACAGACACGGCACAGAGAAGCGCAGCAGCAGTATCATATACACTGTACATCATTACTGACTTCATCTCTTCCAGCTCATCAGTTAAACCACTGCATGGCTAAAAGTATGTGGACACTTCAATCTTACCTCCATAGGGCATTGTTGAATAGTTCATTCTAAAACTGTGGATGCTTTTTGTAAAGTCTGCTCCCCTCTGTGGGAATATACAACACTCCCATTTAGGTACACTGTAAAACTAGCACTCACATTAAAACACTCACATTATAGCAGCTGGATTGCATTAAAAAACATATTTACTGTCGCAAAAAATATAAAAACAGAAAAAACAGTTTTTTGTAAAATTACAAGATCTTGTGTATTTTAAGCTTGTTATCTACAATTAAAATTTGCCTAAACGTTTCACCCCATTTGAACCACGTTCTATGCAAGAAACAGTCCCTAAGAAAACTGTCCGATGTCCTTTAATGTTAACGAATCAGCTGCTATTTCTGGCACATCAAGAGTATGGCGAACTGACGCTTTCGCACTTCCTGTCCATCAGGAGACAAAATGTTTTGTGTGCGACTCCAGGGAGATGTACGATGAGGAGAGCAACGACATCAGCCACACCATCGAGAACGTGGTCACCACCTTCGCCCCAAACCGCCTCAAGACCTGGTGGCAGTCGGAGAACGGTGAGAGACACAAACGCACTAGAGAAACAAGATGAGGGGTGTTTCCTGTTTACTTTGGAGGGAGAATAGCGTGTGAGCCCTCACAGAGGCCGATCTCATGAGTACTGAGCTCAGTAATGAGCAGACAGGAGATCACAGAGCCTCTCATAGCAGCCGTCCTTATGGGTGGGGCTTACAGGTGTGCTGAGGAGAACAGGTGTGCGGGTAAGAAACAGATGTGTGTCAACACTTGACTTTAAAGTGGAAAAAATGAGAAGCGTGACGTGAGACAGGAGAGCTTTAAGAGCTCCACGGAGAGACAGTTTATAACTGAGAGGTTTTCTCACCTGTAATCACCTGTTTCATTGTTATCCACTGGTACAGGGAGGAGCTTCACAGTGAAGCTTAAAACTACCAAATCCTTCCCAAATGTGAGGATTGTGGTCGTAATTTTTACGATTCCACTCATGATTTTCTTCCACTGACAAAATTACCAGCCAATCTTTTTATTTTGTACCATTTCTATGTAGACAAACCCAGATTCATTAATATGAGACTTTTCTATGAAACCTTATTAATATCACCCGGTTGTGCAAACGTTGTGCATCATTTAAACAAATTGTACTTATTTGGTATGTTTGGTTAATTTTATTGGTAATTGGTCAAACTGGTCAATTATTGCAGTTTGAAATAAAGTTTGGTGGATTTGAACAACTCAAGTTTTTGGGGTTACATGGGAAATGTATTCAGTGCACACAAAACGTCTTCCTGCACCTAAAGCTTTGTTTAAAGTTTGTGTGGATAAAATAAGTTCCCATAGAAGGAAGAAAGTAAGCACAGGTCAAATTTTGATGAATTTAACTCTGATATAATCTAAAATATACACATCGCATACAATAACATGAGAACAAACATATCGTATAATAAGTCATTAAAGTTTTCTATTTTATTTTCTTAAATTTGACATTTTTGTTTGACTTTCTTTTGGTTTTATGAATTCATTTTGCTCTCATGACAGCTCTAGTTTTACCATGAAAGTTTTCTGTGACTTTTCTCAAGAGATGCTTGTGTGAAAACTGGCGAGCCAAGTTCAACATCACTTGTTTGACTCATTCCTCAGTCAGCAACTTACATCACTTCTGGAAGTCATGAATCCTAACCTGTGTCTCAACCACAGAAACAAACGTCTTCTCCAACATACACAAACATCAGTGCACCTGATACGCTGCAGTCAGGTTGTTTAAATATACCAACTTGTGTTTAGTTTGCTTTATTCCAAACAAGCTGGGGAACATTTATATGCAATTCTCTGTGAAATTAAGTCCATGAATCCGCATCGTAAAATCTTTAGCTGGATCCTTCATGGTGATCCCAGTGCAGCTGGTTCCCATGCAGTTGTTCCTGCAGAGCGGTGGGAATCTGTCAGAGGTGTGAGTCACGGCAGAGCGGCGGCCAGCAGTGCAGATGGTTCTCAAACAGCAGGAAGCTGCAGGAGCCACTTGGGATTTCCTAATTCCCCCACAGGAATCTTCCAAGTCCTCCGAGCTGCTGTTTTTAAATTCAAACTCTGCTTTGAATGTTTTTACATATAAAGTTTTGCATGCAAGTAAATTTATGATGTTACTATTGGCTGAGTAACTGCAGCGTAAGAAAGCGAGCTGACTGTGTTAACTTTAACTGCGTAAAAGAGTCGAACGCATGTTAATGCGTGTGAAGAAATCAGTCTGTGAAAAACTTGAAATGTGTATTTCCTGTTTCCTGTCTGCTGCAGGTGTGGAGAACGTGATCATCCAGCTTGACCTGGAGGCGGAGTTTCATTTCACACACCTTATCATGACCTTCAAGGTGCCTGGTTTCCCTCACACACACACACACACATCATACAACTGCTGCCATACCCAGGGCAGGCAGAAAAACACAGTGTTGAACAGCTGTGGTGGGGAAACACTGAAAATCAGTCTCCTGAGAACGGTGGGAAGAGGAGGAGGAGGAGGAAGAGGAGGGAGAGGGCAAGTAAAAGAATGCAGCTCGCCTCTCGTGGCTGCTCGGCTTTGATGGTGGCCAGCTGGAGCTGCCTCTCATCAACTCAGCAGCTCTACGTCAGAGTCCAAACACTCTCAGAGACACAATGCACATCCGGCCCATCCAAGACAGGAAAGATCAGCTAATTTAGTTTATTTTAGCTTATTATGTATAAATTATAATTTATTTAAACAGAGAACTATTACAGAAAATGTGCATGTAGGCTATATTTTATTAAAATATTGGTTAAATGCCACTATGGTGTCAAAATCTTACGAAAAAATATTCCAAATAATTTGAAATAAGGTGGGTATCTGTTTTTCACCGTCACATGCATCATATAAAAAAAGTTTTAGAGTGACGTTTTTATATTAAACATAAGGCACACAAACATGTCACTATAAATAGCAGATTAAGTAAAGATGCTTAAAAAAACATGGAGATTAACACATCCTCTCTGTCCTCTGAAGAATCACTCTTACGTGTTAAATTGTTTTTATTTCAACCTTTTTATGTAATAAAAAAACCCCCCAAACACTAGAAAAAATGTTCCCTTATTATGGCTTAATGTAGACGTCTGTAGATTTCCACCCAGTCTTCAGGCAGAATATCATTTTATTTATTTTTCATATGTGAGTGATGCAGTGGCCATAAAAGAAACAGTCGTATCAGTTACAGTAATAAGATGCCTGTCGGTCTTTATCTGCCTGCAGACGTTTCGGCCGGCTGCCATGATGATCGAGCGCTCCATGGACAACGGAAAATCGTGGCAGGTTTATCGTTACTTTGCCTACGACTGCAATTCGACCTTCCCTGGCATTTCCACCGGGCCCATGGTCAGAGTGGACGACATCATCTGCGACTCCCGCTACTCTGATATCGAACCATCCACTGAGGGAGAGGCTAGTTTGTGTTTGCATTTTTTTCCCTCCCTCTGAAAACAAACTTTTCCATATTTTTAGTTCTTACCTTTCCCCCCTCGTGTCTCTTAGGTGATTTTTCGAGTGCTGGACCCCGCGTTTGACATTGACGACCCCTACAGCACAAGGATACAGAGTGAGCTGCTTCTGGTTTTAGAAACTCAAACATTTACTTTTGTGACCCTTTAAGATAAAGCTTTCTCTTTTAAAATCTGAAATGGATTCATATGAGTAAATAGATGATTCATGCCAAGTTTGAGGGGAAAAAAATCTAATCAATGCAGGTAATTTTACCATTCAGAAGGTAAAAAATCCTGGCAGAAACCAGGCTGTAAATATGCTTACACTGACATCATGACTATTGAGAGGTAAAGTGATCATCTCTTCATCTCTTCATCACAGCACCTGTTAGCTGGTGGGATAAATTAGGGGCAAGTGAACATTTTGCCCTCAAAGTCGATGTTTTAGAAGCAGGAAATATGGGAAAGTGTAAGGATTTGAGCGAGTTTGACAAGTGATGGCTAGATGATTGTGTCACAGCATCTCTGACTAATAAAACTGGTTAATCCGAAATTACTTAATTGAATGCAGCCACTCTTTTATATCAAATTAGTACCAGATTACAGGAAACTTATATAAAACCAATATGAAACTGATGAAAGATTTAACCTGAGTGAGACTCTGAACGTACCACAGAAGGATACCAGAATGATTTCCTTTAGTCAGCAGTTGTTGAGCTACCTGTAGCAGATCTGCAGGCGTCAGAGATCAGACAGGACCAACACTGGAAAGAATTTCTCAGGTGGAAGCAACTTGGACTTTGTAACCTCACACACTGCCTCTGTTCCTTGATCGCACACACATGCAGTTGGCTCATGTTAAGTACATGGTAATCGCTGTGGGTGTGTAAGGAACTGCGGCGGTATCCTCACGCTCAGAAACTCTGAAATCAGTGAGAAGAAATAAAACCAAAATACTGACTCGTTCATGGACTCTGGTACAGTTTCAGCAGGTCCTCTATTAGTACTTTAAGCTGATGGAATCAGCATTTTCTTTTTAATTTAGTTCGAAAGTGAAATTTAAAAAAATATTACTGTTAATTTTGAGTAAAAGAAAAGTAGAAATGTGGAGATTAAAATTGTTTCAAGTCAAACAACTGCTGCGGTCTGGGACCATGTAGTTTGCATTTTTACTTTCTTCATGGCTGTGAAACTTGAGCATTTTATCTGTAAATCTTTCCGCCTCCGGTCTTGTGGAGGGAAGGGAAAAAGTGGAAATATTTCTGTCCAACTTTCAGAATTGAGCATAACTTCAATTAAATAAATAAAGCACATGCAATTTGTCCCCTGAAACCTTGTGTTTAATGTCACAGTGATATAAACTGTGCTGTGTTGTCAAGGAGACTTGCGTGTGTATTAAGGGCTCAAAATGCCCTTGTGCACTTAACACAGCAGGACATCACTGAGCCTTTATGGACAGTAATGAGACTCACAGTTTGAGACTTTAAGGGTTGTGATGAAGAATGTCTTCTGAGTATGTTGCAGGCAAGACAGGCAGCATTAACCTAACACAGCGGGGGAAACTGGAGCTCTTGGAGCAAATTCATGCAGGAGAAGAGTCAAACTCCAAAAGAAGGGTCAGTCCTAGTTCAGACTCTCTTGGTGGGAGGTTGGAGCGCTATACGTGGGGCCAATGTGTCATAGTTTGCAGGAATTTGGACTCACAAGCAAAACTCTACAGGGAGACGGGTTAAACAGAAAGCACACCTTTAATGGTGGAAAAAACAACCGTTCAAAAATCCAAGAAAACAAAAATAGAAATCCAGACTTTTAGAACACATATTGAAAAACAACAGGGAAGTAAACTGAGGAATGTCAAAATAAAACAGGAAATCACCTACTGATACTGATACTACAACCTGAAAACACAAAGACTTTAAATAATAAACAAAAATTCCCACAAAGTTTAAAACTCTGGCGCTCAAGGGCCTGTTTGTGCATCCCATTAGTAACCTTACGTTGGGTGCACCAACTGGCTAGCTTTAGCCAGTCTGCAGCTTCTGCTGCCTCTGCAAGCCTTTTGCAACCCACTTAAAATATAGTTGCTCTTTTTCTTATTGTTTCTGTGTTAATTTTTATCCCACACAATACTGTTCAATGCAGATGCAATAATGATAATAATAATAATAACAATATTAATAATAGTAATATTCTCAATGTGATGAAAGTGATCCTGACTGAAACATAGATGCTTTGGATTTAATGAAACACTTTCACAGATGTCTGCGGGCGAGATACTAATCTCCCTGTAAAACAGTGTGTGTGTGTGTGTGTGTGTGTGTGTGTGTGTGTGTGTGTGTGTGTGTGTGCGTGTGTAACCATTTTAATAATACATTCCTGTGTGTACACAGACATGCTGAAGATCACGAACCTCAGGGCGAAGTTCATGAAGCTCCACACTCTGGGTGACAACCTGCTCGACTCCAGCGACGAGGTGAAGGATAAGTACTACTACGCCCTCTATGACATGGTCGTCCGGGGAAATTGCTTCTGCTATGGGCACGCCTCCGAGTGTGCCCCAATTGATGGAGCGCCGACAAGTGCAGAGGGCATGGTATGTCACACAGGCATATAAAGAAAAGGCGAAAAACACCATTTTTGCCATTTTTAAATCTAATTTAAACTTATTCTGCTGAGGCAGACCATGACACAAAGTAAGTAATAACCTAAAATAATTAATTTAATGATGAAACAAGCATGCAATAAGTCTAATAAATTGGATCTCATGGTGTTTATCAGTGAGTTACGGAAGAGGATTAGGGCCACGGGAAAATAAAAAAGTGGGCACATCTTTTTTTCTTGCTTTCCAGAATTCTGAGAAAAATGTCAGAAACGTTGGAATCAGAATTCTCGGGGGAAAGTCAGAATTCTTTTTTTCTCAGAATTCTGAGATTAAAGTCAGAATTCTTCAGCAGAATTCAAAGAAAAAAGTCAGAATTTGAGAAAAAATTAATTAATTATTTTTTGTCAGAATTCCAACTTTTTCCTCAGAATTCTGACTTTTTTGTCCGAATTGTTTTTTAAGAATTGTGACTTTTTTCTCAGAACTCTAACTTTAATTTCAGAATTCTGACTTTTTTGTCAGAATTCTGACTTTTTCTTAGAAATCTTACCACTGGGGATGAGATGATGCGAGGAAGGTGTGTGAATTCAATTCAGTTCTTTTAAGCACAACAACAGTTGCCTCAAGGCACTTTATATTGTGTGCTAAAGATCATACAATACGGCTAGGAAAACAGAGTAAATCCGAGCAATTAGATGAGCCCCTACAAGCAAGTGCTTTGACGACAGTGGGAAAGAAAAACTCCCTTTTAGGAGGAAGAAACCTCCAGTAGAACCAGGCTATAATAATTTTGTCAAGCCTGAAATGTTAAAAAAGCACTTCAGTGCTGAAGAAACCTGATTCAGCTTCGTATATTTTAATAAACTGATATCAACAAACATATTTGGCTATCAGACAAATCAAATCAAATCACTTTTATTGTCACATCACATGTGCAGGTACATTGGTACAGCACATGTGAGTGAAATTCTTGTGTGCGAGCTTCACAAGCAACAGAGTTGTGCAAAATACAATAATGTAAACAGGCAAAATATACGAATGGCGAAATCTGAAACTAATAAATATATGTACAATATATAATAGTATATGCAAAAAAAAATAAAAAAATTTCTGGATGTGTATACTAAATGTTTTTCTACGTGTGTGTGTGTGTATACACATATTTTACAAATTAAATAGAGTCAATAAATAAAATATATAAAAATATACAGAGTTGAGACATGTGCAAAACATTGTGGTGGTTAAATCAGTAATAAGCTATTACTGTATATGTGTGCGTGTGTGTGTGTGTGTGTAGGTCCATGGCCGGTGCATGTGCAATCACAACACTGAGGGACTGAACTGCGAGCGCTGCCAAGACTTTTATCACGATTTGCCTTGGAGGCCTGCTGAGGGACGAAACACCCACGCCTGCAAGAGTAAGAACACAAACATGGAAAAGTCTGTCTACAGCTCTCAGCTCTTTAAACTCAGAGTAAGATCTCCACAAACATGATGACAGTCCTGACAGCAAACAGGGAGACTGACAGTCAAAGAACGCTTAATTGATATGTGTAGGATAATGTTTTAACCACAAAGGAAGCAGTGAAACTTTCAGGGGTAAAACTGGTTTGCGTATTTTAATTGAATGTAAACTTTTTACCCATTCACACACACATTCACACACTGGTGATGGCAAGCTACATTGTAGCCACAGCCACCCTGGGGCGCACTGACAGAGGCGAGGCTGCCGGACACTGGCGCCACCGGGCCCTCTGACCACCACCAGTAGGCAACGGGTGAAGTGTCTTGCCCAAGGACACAACGACCGAGACTGTCGGAGCCGGGCTCGAACCGGCAACCTTCCGATTACAATATGAACTCCCAACTCTTGAGCCACGATCGCCCCACATGCCGCACAGCAAGAAGGTCCTGAGTTCAATTCCACCATCAGGCTGGGGTCTTTCTGTGTGGAGTTTGCATGTTCTCCCCGTGTTTGCGTGGGTTCACTCTGGGTACTTCGGCTTCCTCCCACCGTCCAAAGACATGCAACTTGTGGGGATAGGTTAATTGGATAATCCAAATTGCCACTAAGTTTGAATGTGCGAGTGAATGGTTGTCTGTCCCTGTGTGTTGGCCCTGCGACAGACTGGCGACCTGTCCAGGGTGTACCCCGCCTCTCGCCCTATGACAGCTGGGATAGGCTCCAGCGCCCCCCGCGACCCTGAAAAGGATAAGCGGAAGTGAATGGATGGATGGATGTAAACTTTTTAATTGGTAGTAAAGTTATGAAAACACTGAAAATGTGAACAGGAAATGTGCTCTTCTGTTTTCAAAGAAAACTCAAAGTCTACGTTTCACTTTCCTTCTTTCTCAGAGTGTGAGTGTAACCAGCACTCCACGTCGTGCCACTTTGACCTGGCCGTGTACGTGGCGTCCGGCAACGTGAGCGGAGGCGTGTGTGACGACTGTCAGCACAACACGCTGGGCCGACAGTGCGAGCAGTGCGCGCCGTTCTTCTACCAGCACCCCAGCAGAAACCTGAGGGACCCAAACGTCTGTGAACGTAGGTCACTGCTACGCAACCGCAGTTCAGTCTATCATGAGAGAAAACATGAAAACATCTGTTATAAAATCAGAGTAAAGAATTTGTAAGTTTGGAATAAGCTGCAAAAAATCTACTAAATTGTCCTTAGTGATATCAGAAGTGATGCTACAAACTACATCCTGCTACATATGATATATTTTTGATATCTTTGGCATATTGAGCCTTATACTGTGGTGTCCATTCCTTTTTTAATCTCTTTAATGTCTTTTTCTTCTCTCTAGCCTGTAACTGCGAGCCTTCCGGTTCTCTGGAGGGTGGCCTGTGTGACCCGAGGACAGATGTGATTGCCGGGCTGATCTCAGGTCAGTGTCGGTGCAAAGCCAATGTGGAAGGAGAGCGCTGCGACCACTGCAGACAAGGACACTACGGGCTGGGACAAGGGCCACATGGCTGCCTGCGTAAGTCAGATTATACGCTTTCTTATGAAATCTTATTAGAGTAAAGGTTAACACAAGGAGATGGAAACAAAATGCTACAAAATAAAGTGAGTTAATTCGTAATTAAACCCTGAAAAACCGAGCAAACCTTAAACTAAGGTTAAGGTTGTTGGTATGTTGGTGAAAACTCTAAATATGTCGATGGTCCCAGATCCAGATGAATGGGAGGTTAGATCAGGAAGGGCATCCTGTGCAAAATCAGCCAAATCACACATGTGAATCCATCCGCTGTGCAAATAATAATGCAGCACAAAGTTCTTACTTCCTGTATAATCTATAGAGAAGTCCCTCTACATTTTAAAATTCAAATAGATCATAGTATATTAAATATACCCTAATTTCAGCATGTTAATATGTACATTTGTGGAATTTTAGGGTAAAAAAATTGAAGTGATTTGGTTCGAGGAAGACAATAATAATAAAATATCATAGTAATACCACAGAACTTCAAATGAAAATAGACACAAACATACTCAGTATAGATAAACATACAGTAACTACAGTCAGACAGGCTGATGCAGTTTATCCTGTTGCTTCGTTTTGTGTTTTGGCAGCTTGCACCTGTAATCCGCTGGGAATGCTGCCAGGAGGAAAGCCGTGTGATTCAGACACAGGACGCTGCTTCTGCAAACGCCTCGTCGAAGGACACAACTGTGATCAGTGTCGGGTACGGATCCACGCTCACTCTGGATACCTTCCTCTCTGCCTTAGTGCGCTTATTACTCATAAACATCTGCTTTCTGCTTTTACAGCCACAGCATTGGGGTCTGTCCAATGACATGGATGGCTGCAGACCATGTGACTGTGACCAGGGTGGGGCTGTCAACAATGAGTAGGTGTAATTAATGATATTAAAAACATCTGTGTTTAGTTGTAGTAATATGACAGGTCCCTATAAGTGGGTCATTTCATGCCAGCTGACCAAATGTTTCCTTCATCACAAAAATGTTTTGAGCATAAAATGACCCTTAATTTTTGGAAAAATGTCCAATAAAGCAGTTTTCGTATAAGTCTGCAAACAGGCTTTTTCACTGCTGCAAAGTAAAGTGTTTTGTGTCTTTGGGATTGGCTTGTTTTTTAAGACAGCCTCAAGTGGCCAGGTTAGGAACTGCAGGTTATGGTTGCATTTTTTCACCTCCAGAAGTTTCTGTTTGCATGTGACTCAGGCCACTTCTTAACCAAAGTGAAGGTCTATGCTAGACAGATGCATGTTTCTATATTAGTTATTTTTATTAAAATGCATTTTACAATTGTACATGGAGGCAAGAAGAGATTACCATTGACCATTAAATAGAACAGCTCCTGCAGAAAGATGTGCAGCTGTTTTGCCTCTAAAGAAGAAAGATGTCTAACAGGAAGCAATGAAATTAATGGAAGATCTCACCATTTTCATTAAATTATAAACAAGGAAAAAAATAGTTTATGCATGTGGATGTGTAAAACTTTGTCTTTCTTTTTCCGACCTGCCATCTCTCCACAGCTGCGATCCTCACACAGGACAGTGTGTGTGCAGGGAGCACATGTTCGGGCGCCGCTGCGATCAGGTCGAGTCCGGCTACTACTTCATGGCTCTGGATCACTACATATACGAGGCAGAGGACGCCAAGCACGGCCCTGTGAGTGTGTTCACATCGGCTTGTGGTGCTTTTTTTTCCCTCCAGATTTGTGAACGTTTGTTTCCCCATCAGGGCGTGACGCTGGTACCTCGGCCCTATCCTGAAGGTCGGAGTCCTACGTGGACTGGTATGGGCTTCGTTAATGTGCCAGAAGGAACCTATCTAGAGTTCAGCATCGACAATATTCCCGAGTCCATGGACTATGACATCCTTATACGCTATGAGCCACAGGTAACACAAATGATCTGCATATTTCAGAGTCAGTTATTGCTCCATGGCATTTTGAAAGAACCTTTGTCACTAACTTTTTATGGTTTCTTTCTTTACTGAACATTTTCCTAAAGTTTGGTCGAATATTTTTGCGTAATCTTTTGAGCAGGCAGACAAACAGGCAGAAAACTCGTGCAAACATCAATGAGATCTCCTGTCCTTTCCGTCATTAATTAAATTAAAATATTCTCTACATAAACCCTGAGTTATCTAGTTCATCAATAAGTGTTGATAAATATGAAGTATGTGACAGCTGTTTGCCAACTGGAATACCATTGTTTAGAGAAATATCTAATCAGCCACTCACATGGCAGCAACTCAGTGCATTCAGGCATTTGCACTGCACAGCCATCTCTAGAGTTTACAGAGAACGGTCCGAGTAAGAGGAAACATCCAGTGAGCGGCAGTTCTCAGAGGAGCATTGCCAGACTGTTTCAAGTCGAAGGCATCAGTAACTTAAAAAAAACACTCGTTACAACCAAAGTATGCAGAAGAGCATGTCTGAATACTACAGCAGCAGAAGACCACACCTGTTAGCTAAGAACAAGAAACTAGGGCAATAATTCATTCACCAAAGTTGGACAGAAGATTGGGAAAAACTTTGCCTGAATGCCAACTATCTCTTTTTCATGAAACATGTGACACAGGGTAGCCTATGGACAGTTTATTTGAATAAATACACTCAAACAGAAACAAAGACGGAGGAACGATGAAGGAATACCACATGTATGTTTGTTTGTCGACAGCTACCGGAGCAATGGGAGGAGGTGAACATCCAAGTGCAGCGCCCCGTCTTCAACCCTCCAAACTACTCCAGTCACTGCAGTAACTCTTTCCAGAGCGGAGACCAGCAGTCGATCTCTCTTCCACCTGGATCCAGGTAAAACATTCATTTACTGTACACTGAACATGCTCACACAGACACATAAACTAACTCTGTGTGTGTGTTTCAGACATGTGTTGCTGGTGAGGCCGGTGTGTTTTGAGAAAGGGCTGAACTACACGATCCAACTCAATCTGCCTCTCTACTCGTCAGTCAGCACCGTCCAGAACCCGTACACACTCATCGATTCGGTATGTGGCTTTGCACACAAACACACACCTGTTCAGACAGGTCCTGCCTGTACTCCAGGACCTGGCCTGCTCAGATCGTACGGCTCTCTTGAAATGTAAAAACTTAAGACCACGGACACTCATTTTCTAAAGCAGTTGCTTTAGGAACATTTCATGTCCTTCCAAGCCAGTGAAAGCTCCAACTGTTGGTCCATAGTAGCCCTCAGTAGCTCCTTACGCTCTTCTCTGTTTTTAAAGGTGGTGCTGATGCCCCGTGTCAGAGAGCTAGAAATGTTCCACGGAGACGTGGGAGAGCAAGCATGGGATACGTTCCAGCGCTATCGATGTCTGGAGAACAGCCAGAGCATCATAAAGAGCCCCATGACCGACATCTGTAAACAGTACATCTTCAGTGCCTCTGCCTTGCTGCACAAAGGAGCCATGGGTGTGTTGTTCATCTTCATCTTCAGAATCTGAAGATGTTAAAAATTGTTCCTGCTTCCATTCTCATCACCTTTCCCCCCCAATCTCATCCCTCAGCTTGCCAGTGTGACCCTCAGGGTTCACTCAGCTCCCTGTGTGACCCCAGTGGTGGTCAGTGCCAGTGCCGACACAACATCGCAGGCAGGAACTGCGACCGTTGCGCCCCGGCTACCTTCCTGTTCGGCCCTGCCGGCTGCAGACGTGAGTGCAGCTGAAGTTCAATGCCGACGTGTTCATCTTCAGTTTAGATGTTTACTTTAATCCTAATCCCTTCACCCCCACAGCTTGTAACTGTGACCCCCTGGGCTCTGTCAGCCCCTTGTGCCACGAGGCCACCGGCCACTGCGAGTGTGTTCCAGGGGCCACGGGTCGCCAGTGTTCACACTGCCTGCCGGGCTTCTGGGGCTTCCCTCATTGCCGACCGTGCCAGTGTAACGGCCACAGCGAGTACTGCCACCCTCAGACTGGAGAGTGTCAGGGCTGCAGAGACTTCACCACCGGACACCACTGCGAGAGGTGAGGATGTGAATGTAGATGCAGTGGTGGTAGCTTAAATCTGCTAATACTAGTGAGGTAGAGACAGATATTATAGAGATTCAACATAAAAGAATTAGTATAATAGCTTTTCAAGGGCCTCAAAGCTCATTTCCTTGGTCAAGGAAAAAGGGAGATTTAACCATTAAACCCCAATGTGTGGAAAGGAGTGTAGATGTCTAAAAAAAAAAGGTGGCAACATATAAGGACAGCAGAAGATAGCATTTCTTAGCCCACAGTATTTGTCAAATTTGAATTAAAGATGAGAACAATAAGCACAAGCATCAGTTACAAAAAGAACAGGACAAAAAACCTGACTTCCTCAGTTAATTCAGTTTTCTGTCATTTATCCCTGTAAACCCTGAACCATTAAAGAATTACCAGAAAATTCAATTTGACCGTGTTTATGGGTTATAAACACTGTTATTAGTGAGTGTTTATTGAACCTTCTTACAGAGACTATTTTCTAGAAATTAAATTTATATATTCTTGTGCAGTTTCATTGCTTAGAAAAGTTAATTGTGCATTTTATTCCGTTTTTTTAGGGAAAAAACACTCCAATCATGCAGAAATCTTAAAAAACTCACAAAATCTTATGCATCAAATATGACACACTTGGCATTACAGGGTTGAAAATAAAAGAATAAACGTTTCATTTGGTTTTTTTTCTTGCGTAACACTGCTAGTGATGAAGACACTTCAAATAAAACTTCCATTTCCTTTTTTTTGCCGTTCATAATTTAAAGTTTCAGGTTGTTATCTCAAGAATTTGGCCTATTAACTCAAACTTCTGAGAAAATGACCTGAAAATAAAGAAATCCTGAAATTTATAGTTAATAAATCAAAATGTTCAGTTATGGATGGCAACATTTTTATTTTATATTATTTATTTAGTTTTTGTGCAGCAGAAAGAGGCTTATAAAGATTATTATTATTATTATCATTATTATTATTATTATTATTATTAAGTTGTCTGAGGAAAACTGCACAGTGCTGGAGTTGTGGATCTGCAAGCCGCTTTGCAACCCATCCAAACCCAGCTCCTTCTCTCCTGTGTTGAACTGAGTCTATCCGATGTAATTTTAAGGCAAAATTATATGAATGCAGCTATATGGGACGTTGCAGTTTGGGCAGACATTTCTTCAGTACTCAGGTGTCTCTCAGAAACAGTTGATTTTTACTAACCTTTTCCTTCCAGATCTAAACTGAAGGATCCATTAACACCTTTTCTTCTGCTACCAGGTGTTTGAGCGGTTACCATGGTGACCCAGAGCTGGGTTCAGGCGGATACTGTCGCCCTTGTATGTGTCCTGATGGGCCACGCAGCAGACGCCAGTTTGCGGACAGCTGTTACCTTCTGCCTAATACCAATCAGCTGGTGTGTGTGTGCGGCCGCGGATACAAAGGCATGTAAACACAACACTTCACAGATTTGTTTTTATGTAAGCGGGGCTCAGGTGCAGTTTTTGTCAACATGTCTTCACGTCACACGCTCATCACAAGTACAAACACACTTCAGTAGTCTGTTATTAGCGTGCCAGACCTCAATCTTTAGATTCAAGAGGAAAAGAAAAGCAACAAACTTGAGGTCTCATGTACGATACCATACCAGCTGACTTGTCTCCTGCATCCCTTCCAGGTGTCAGGTGCGACGAGTGTGCCCCGGGTTACTTTGGGAATCCTCTGGTGCCCGGTGGGCGCTGCATGCCCTGCCAGTGCAACAACAACATCGACATGCACGACCTGGACTCCTGCGATGCTCGCACCGGCGCCTGTCTCAAATGCCTGTACCACACCCAGGGCGACGGGTGCCAGCACTGCAAACTGGGTTACTATGGCAATGCTACCACACAGAGCTGCAGGAGTGAGTACAGCTGAACACGATTCATCATATTTATTGTTATCCAAAAATATATTTGTTAGTGCTTCCTGTGTGTAATGCCGGTTTCACTTTCCTGCTAAATAATTGTAGCCACAGCCAGAAGGAGGCCAGTACACATCTTCCCAGTCTTGGTGCATGTGATTACAGTGACCTCTGACTTTTAAATCAGCTGTGTTGGATCAAGGACACATCTAAAACCTGCAGGACACCGGCCCTTGAGGCTTGGAGTTCGACACCTGTGCTATAGACTGTATTTAAAAGATAGACACAGTCAAAGTAGTGTCTGTCATTGGATTGTGGACGACCTTTTTCTGAGTTTAGCATTTGGATCGTTGCCTTCTTGTTTTTGTGTATCCAAAAGTGATCGTCATGAATACATTTGGACCTAATGGTAGAGTGGTTAACATATTTACTTGGTAACGCGAAGGTTGCTGATTTGATTCTAGCCAGAGCCTCAAACCCCCTTTGTGGTTGGGTCAGGTAGCAACCCCTGTGACAAAGGAGCAGTCAAAAGCAGCTAAACTGGACCCAGACTGTTGGAATAGTTAAACCCGCAGAAGTTCAATTTACCAGAGAATTTATGTCAAAATGTAAAGGTGGACGTTTTAAAATTGGAGTCTGTTGTGGTTTCTTGTGTGACATATTGCGAGCATTGCTTGAGAATTCGTCACATCCAAAATAGCGAATTGGATATTGGACAAAGAAGGTGCTGCACCAAATCCTCCTCATGATTGCTTTGGTCACTTGTAATTTTAAAGTTGGCGACTTGACTACAAACACTTGCTGATTTCTTGCTGTAAAAGCAGCTAGTCTATGTTAACAAACATAGACAGATCTCAAATATCCATCTAGCCAGTAAATTTCCCATAATTCTGCGGTGCATCTTTCTTGTTTCTTTCTTTCTTCACTCCGCAGAGTGCACGTGTTATTCAGTAGGGACGATTCCTTATGCCTGTTCGTCCCCCGATGACTGTCAGTGCGACCAGCGCAGTGGCCAGTGTCCCTGCCAGCCCAACGTTGTCGGTCAGCACTGCGACCGCTGCGCTCCAGATACGTGGAACCTCACCAGCGGGACGGGCTGCCAGCGCTGCGACTGCGATCCTGTCCACTCGTTCAAATCCTCCTGCAATGAGGTGAGGCAGACTGTGTTTATAACCATATTTTGTCCTTTAACACTATCATGCAGTAACTTTTGGGTAAGCCTTTTAACTTTTAGAGACATTTTAGGTGATGAAATCTAAAACTTGTGCTCAGTTGCTTGGTGTGAGCCACCTGGAGCACAAATACCACTAGAAATTTTTATTTCTGGTAGGATTATCCATACCAAGCAGGTCAATGCCAGATGAATGGTTTCCCTGCTCAGATTTTTCCTGTATCTGCCAGGCTGGATGTATGTATAAAGATATAGGAATGGGTATTTATAGTAACAGTTGGGAAAAGAACCGGAGCAAACAGTGTGGACGGAAACATGTGGATATGTATCCAAGGACAGTATTGACATTTCAGGAGAACAAGAAATCTAAACTCCAGTTAATTAAGTAATGAAACCCCCGCACCATCGTCTCAGCAGCTACTCCAGTTAACTCTCTCTGAACACGATCTGAAATGAACCACAAAATCCTGTCCATCTATGAGCTGCTGTTTCCAAACTTTCTCTTACATAGTGTTGGGGATTGGTTTTCCCAAACCCCCACACCGTAGGGTGTGACCATCTCAACAACTTCAAGTAGTTTTTGATATATGGACTCCAGCTGTTTAGGACCTGCTTCTCTCCTCTCACATGTAAAGAACTGATGACACTCACTCACACGAAACATTCAGCTTTCTGTGTTTACTGGCTTCATTCCATCGGAGGAAGGAAGTCTCGGAATACACTGTGGAATGACACAGGAATTTTCTTTCCTGGCAGGAACAAATTCTGCCAAACTTCAAAGCTTTATTGTGTCTGCATCGGAGAGAAGAGCTTTGAAGTTTATTGAACGCTCTGACCTGATCGCTGTGTTTTTTGCGCTGCCTGCAGGTTACAGGACAATGCATGTGCAAGCCCGGTTTTGGTGGCCGGATGTGCCGGGAGTGCAAAGAGCTCTTCTGGGGGAATCCAGAGGTCAAATGTTATGGTAAGATATCACCACCACCCAAATGCAGGACCAGAGAGTCAAACATTTGAAGGTCAGCCAGTCTGCCAGGGAGTATACAAGAAAGAACTCGGTGAACTACTTTAAACATGACAGAAAAATGCAAACAAGAAACCATCAGGAACTCTGGGATATGCCTGGAAGGTTTCATGTCAGTGAGAACAAGACTATCTGGCAGCTGGCTGTGGGAAACAGGGGGGTGGATGCATATAGCAAGAATACCAACAGGGTAACAGGTGAGACAAACTGAGCACAGGAGAAATACTACTAAAATAATCCCGGTTACTTAGTGAGTCTGACCCACCAACATATTTCTTTACTCAGAATTTTATACAAACGTAAAGAGCCCATTGTAAAATGTAAAAGGATATTTCAGTAAATTACAGGGAAAATGTAGAAAATATGTCTCGTTTTTTAAAAGAAAAACTTGACTGTATTAACTAAAATTCAGTGTAAAAGTCTTTTGACTGCTGGTAGACACTGACATGTTCAAAGTAATGCTCAGGTGTTGAGTAGCTTGCTGGTGGTCGGTTGTTTAAGATGGACAGCGGCACTATTAGAAATATGATCAGGAACAATAAAGACACATTTTATCAGTTGTAAGAAATTGGAAGTCCTCTTGTTTTTAATGGCAACATGGGAAGAATGGAGAGGCTCTGTTTTTATGTGCTTTTCCTGAACGAGACATAAAAACAGGCATAATATCAACTAACAACAGATGGAAACTAAACAAGTAGGTCCAAGAACCGAACCCTGTGGGACTCCACATCTTATTAGATCAGCTGATGAAATAAAGTTGACCGCAGTGACTCTGAATACTCTATAGGTGAAGTAGAAGTAGGATGAGACCCATTTGAGTGCCTTTCTACTTTGGTCAGCCTCATTCCTAAGTCTCTTGAGGGAAATGCTACGGTCAACTATCAAATGCTGTAGTCAGGCCTAGTAAAAGCTTTATCCTCCTGTTTCTGCTCCTCCTTACTTTAGAGGTCACCATGGTGGATCACCTTCCTCCATCTCACCCTGTTTCTACCATCTCCTTCTGTCACACCAACCTTCACCACATTCATGAATCTCCTCTGAGGCTCATTTCCTCCTCCCTGGCAGCACCAATATGTCCACTATCCCTCCTCTGCACATGTCCGAACCATGTCAGTCTTTCCTCTCTGACTTCACCAGTTAAAATAAGAACAGTAAGATTACCTGAAATTGAAGCCAAAGTAAAGCGGTTTCTGTACTGCCAGAGAGGTTGTTGTCTTTCATTACCTCTACGAGCTGCTTTATAACCACTTTCTCAAGAATTGTTGGAAGTGGGGGTAATTTGGAGACAGGATTGTAGATATGGGGCTGTGTTGGTTGGGTAAAATAGCCTGGGACATGGACAGATCAAAGGGCTCCAACTTCAAGGAGGTTAGCAGCGCCCCGAAGGAGCGTCTAGTCTAGAAACTACTCCGAAATTCATCATATCAGCTTGTTTTTGCCGCCCCCAGGTGGTACGTACGGTCTGATGGTACGGTGCTTATTTTTCTTTTGCCTTTTGTGAAGTTTTTGTAGCTCTAAACATCTCACAAGCTTATATAACCTTCTAGCAGCTTTTTTGCCTTCCACAGAAAGGGAAACTTAATGAGGCTCCGGCCCCTCTGAGACCCTGAATAGGGAAGGAGTTAAGAAGGACATGCCACTGTGGCCTTGTTTTTATTTTTATCAGTATTGTCTTCACACTGCAGACCTTCAGTCTTACGCTGAGCACCAACAATACCCTCACTTCTATTTCAGCACGTTGGAGCTAAACCATCACTATTCTAATACTTCCTGATGTGTCCTTGTGGTTGGATCTTAGTATTCATGTTCTCACAGGATGTTATTCTTGTGACTCAGTGGGAGACCAGCAGCGATAGCTTTGAAATGGTTTCCAGATGATTCGGCTTACTCCGACAGCAGTTACGTGTCGGTAGCACTCAGTCAGCCGGGTTGGCGCTCAGCTTTGTTTTTGGATCCTGAAAATTTTTATTGTCTGCGAAACAAACTGCTGAAGAGTCCATCTGCAGTAAAGTGTCCCACAGTAGCTGGCTCACCCTCAGAGAAAGAGAGAGCAGCAGGGGCAGCTGGATCTGGGAATGACCTCTTCTCATGAGAAGCAGATGTTCTCCAGAATTCCCAGGCTTCCCATTTTCGCCACGGACAAACACACAGAGGAAACAGGAATATGAAATATTCCCATTGAATTCTCTGATGATCTTTTAAGCCTTGAAAGCAGCTGGACTTCACCTCCTTTCTGCACAGATGATGAAATAATGCAGCAATTTACAGGAACGCTGCGGCCTCCTCAGTGAGGAGTGTTACATGTATATGTTGTATGCAGATTAAAAAAAATGCCTCCGATTTACAAGTGTCAGCGGTTAAAATGTCTTTTTAATATAATAGTAGTGTAGCTTTTCTCAATTAGTAACCAATAATCACCATTTACATTCATCCATGACTGTGTTTCTGCAGAAAGATGTAACAATTCAACCTCATTAAACCAGAGCCTCACCTTCTGTTGCATAAATCACACAAATATAACCCCAAAAGGTTTGGACGCTCACTGCATAAAATAAAAATAAAAACCAGAAAATCTCTTTTATACACAGTAGAATATTGAAAAACATACCACATGTTTAAACTGAAAAAATGTACAATTTCAAAGCATCCCCTCTTCTTTTTACAACAGTCCACAAACGTCTGGGAACTGAGCAAACCAGCAGTTCTCATCTGAGGGAGGATTCCAGCTGCTCAGCAGTCCTCAGTCTTCTTCTTAGTTTTTTTTTTCTTGATTACAAATTCCAGACTTCAAACTGAGCATTGATATCAAGCTGTATGATCCCTCTCCTCTTTAGTCTAGAGGATGCGGGGTCCATGTTTTCCAAGAAAGAATTTAAAATTTTAGTTCGTCTGACCTCAGCTTTCCACTTTTACTCAGAGAAGACAGCGGTGTTTCTGGATCATGCGCACATGTGGCTTCTTCTTTGCATCACAGAGGCTGGATTTATAGATGGCACAGAGAACTGTGCTCATGCAGTGATCTCAGTAATGACAGAATCATGTCTGTTTTTTAATGCAGTGCTGTCTGAGGGCCTGAACACCACAATCCAGTGATTTTTGGTCTTTTCTCTTGCGCACAGAGATTTCTCCAGATTTTCTGAATCTTCTGATGTTGTTATGACATAAACTGTAGATGACAAGATATTCAAAGTCGTCATGATTTTACCTTGAGGAATGTTATTGTAAAATTGTCGGACAATTTGTAGACAGTTATTTTGCAGATTGGTGAACCTCTGTCTATCTCTAAGATGTTCTTTTTTGTCAGCGTTAATGTCATTAAAATTATGGTAGCGGCATAACCGCATTAACGCGGCAAATGTCCGTTAGCGAGTTAGCGCGGATCGCCTCGTGCGTGGGGCTGCACGGCAAGATTAAGGAGATTAACGCTGAGAGCACTAGTTCTTTTTAAAGTGAATTGGTTGCAAAAATGCTCCTAAAGCATTTTTTTTGCCCCCTTTTTCTCTGAGACATACTGCCATCAAATGTTTCATGAAATAATCAAATGTCTCAGTTTAGACATTTCATATGTTCTCTATGTTCTAAGTACAGGAACACTGATGGGGAATATCTGTCAGACTGTTTTTTCCTTCTTTCTGACACGTGATATTCCTTTTTCTTCCCCCATGGAGCGACTGAAACCTGACCTTCGAAGTCATATTCATGTCCAAGTTTATTTACTGAAACCATTTGAGGTTAAATAAACTTTAAGTGACTTACTTCCCAGAGAGACAAAAACTTGAAGATGTTTTTTTTGGATTATGAGGGCTGCGCGTAACTTACATGTTTTTACTGTTTTTATTGTTCTGACATTATAAAACTTAAAGTTGAAGGTTAGTTCTAAACACTCAGCAAGAAGGTCCTGGGAAGGTTGCGTCCTCCTCGTGTCTGCATCGGTTTCTCTATGTAAGGTTAACTGCCATTGGTTAACTGCAACAGATTGGTGACATGATTTGAGTCTGCCCTGCCTCTCGCCCTTTAACACCAGCAGGAGCAGTGCAGAAAGAAACACTGCTATGTTTTTACCTTTATTTAAGTCCCTATCGCATTAAATCTGCTTCAGTACTGCATTAAAACGACAACAAATACAGAATATAAAACTTGATATACAAACACAGACAACAAAAAACTGTTATTAATTAAACATTTGGGTTGTTTCACCCTTGGGAGTCGTTTTTTTAGTTGGCGTCTCCACCTTCCTGTGTGTGTTTCTAGCTTGTGACTGCGACCACCGGGGGATCTCCAGTGAGCAGTGTCATCGTGCCACAGGGCAGTGTACCTGTGTGGAGGGCGTGGCGGGCCCCCGGTGCAACGAGTGTGCTAGGGGTTACCACGGTGAGTTCCCTGACTGCAAACCCTGCCACAAGTGCTTTGCGGCTTGGGACACCGTGGTCGAGGAGCTGACCAACCAAACTCGCCGACTGGAGGCCAAAGTGAACGAGCTGCAGACTGTCGGAGTGACGGCGCCGTACAAAGAGTTGATTAGAAGTCTCGAGAGAAACTCCAAGGCTGTCAGAGACATCTTGGAGAGCAACGCCGCCACGGTGAAGCTGGAGCAGATACAGGAGCTGATGCATCAGATAACGTATGCACACCACCAAACAGAGGCTTACTTGGGGTTGTAGCAAGCAACTGGTGTTTATTGTTTCACTGTGCTCTTAGTGGTGTGATGTCCTATCTCAATGGAAAGCTCAACACAACCGAGGAAGCCTTGGAACTTCTTCAGAGTGATGCAAATGCCACCGATGCAGACTTAGACGTGCTGACTGTTGAGGCAAACCAGTTGGAGATGAGCGTCCAGAGGCTGAGACAGCAGGTGGACGATGCCAAGAACGCCAACATACACGGTGAGAAATCAAGTGCTTCAGCCTAAAGCTTCACTCTTAGACCTTTACAGCTAAGCCAAGACAGAAAGTCGGCACGTTTTAATCGGTACATCAGTACTAAATTTCCGTCCAGCCCTGTTTCACTGTTCCCTAACTTTACTGCTTCCAGGTGCCCTGGAGACTATTACTGCTGCGCACACGCAGTCTAGGATGGCGGAGCAGCGCACCAATGCTTCTACGAGCGACCCTGGCAACACAGTCAAGCAGTCAGTTGCAGTACGGAAAGCCACGGAGGACAATCTGAGCAGCACGAAGAAGGAATTTGACCGAAAACAACAGAGAAACATGCAGAAGCTGGACAAGCTGTCCAAAGAGCTCGATAAATTTAGCCTGTCTTCACTAAGTGAAAAGGTGAGAACACGGGAAGATCGCATCTGTCTATCACACGTTCACCTTTGTTGGTAATTCTGTCTTTCTCTGTAGATTTGTGGTGGAGCCTCTGAAGGTGATGATGGCTGCTCCACCTGCGGCGGGTTGGGCTGCACCAACAAGGATGGAGCGCCTCGCTGTGGAGGAGAAGAGTGTGGAGGCGCTGTCACAACCGCTCAGACGTCTCTCAATTCAGCCAATGAGCTGGAACAGGCGATCCTAGAAGCTATGCAGGAGGTAGACAAGCTCTCCAGGATGGTAAGTGAACATGGTCGTCGTGTTATAATGTGGAACACCTGCAGGTGGATGTGAGACAGGTAACCTGGACCTGTGTGGACACTCTGCTCAGGTGTGGGAAGCGAACATCCGAGCAAACGAAGCCAAAGCGAATGCTCTGGAGGTGCTGATCAAATCCAACCAGAGCAAAGAGAGAGTGGAGCAGAGCAACGAGCAGCTCCGCAACCTCATCAGGGAGATTCGAGATCTTCTCATGAGTGAGTTTCTCCTGTACACGTCTAGTCTTCACAATGTGTAAAAATTTATGCACGTTTCTTAAAATAAAACGGTTCATTTATGTTTGGTCTGCGTTTATCCAGATGAGAAAGCAGACGCGTCCGTTATCGAGGCCTTGGCAAACGAGGTTTTGGCTCTGGAGATGCCGACGTCGGCCGAGAAGCTTCAGGAGCTGACGGACGAGATCAGGGAGAAGGTCACCACTCTGACCAGCGTGGAGACGATCCTCAGTCAGAGCGCGGAGGATGTCATGGCGGCCGAGTCGCTGCTGAAGGAGGCTAAGGCTGCAAGGTAACACGTGACGACTGACAGGATGGAAAACAGGAGGAACGGGATTAAAAAATTCAACTTGAAAAAATCTTTTTTGCAGTCTTACAGGTGGCAATATTTTTGTTTTCTTCTGTAATTGTTGTAAACATTTTCTTGGACTACGAGCCAAATGCAAGACATCAGAGGCAGGTGATTGGTCAAAATCTAAATCCTTGTTACCAGTTTGAGCTCAAACTTAGGGGGTCAGTCAGTGAAGCGGGTAGCGAGCAGCCAACTGCAAATTTAAAATGTGAAAAACAAGCTGTTTTAGCTCCTCCCCCTTTGAACTGACATTCTTCTGATTGGCTGCCTCTGACAGAAATGTGTAAATAAACCCAGCTTTCTTTCTCCCTGTCTGTCAGCGAGAAGGCGTCTAACATGAAGGACACCGCAGAAGTAGTTAAGGCTGCCCTGGACGAGACCGACCGCGCTCAGAGCATCGCCATGGGCGCCATTGAGTTGGCCCAGAACAACACCAAGGGCACCATGGACCTGCTGAACGCTGTATGGCTGACCTCAGTGATGATGCGGTTTGATTCAGTGACTCCGTTTACTGTTTCGGGATGACAAAAACAGCACAAAGTTCGAGAGATGGAGTCGTACGTTGTTGCCATTTTAGAACGGTCTGCCTTGTTTTCAGTAACAACTGACTTTAAAAACAATATTGCAGTCAGGAAACGCTCAGCTTTGATTTAGTTTAATCACAGTGATATAAAAATGTTTTATTGGTGTTCGGACGTAATATTTTTATTTTAAAAAGCATTTTTAGTCTAAGCTATTAAAAATAAACATAAAAAAATAACAAATTAAATTCGAAACTTTGAAAAAATAAAAATAATATAGCAAACAAAAGCTGAATGTACGTAAAGGAAACTGACTTACTAATGCCTGACAACGCCACCCACAAAATAAATTATAAAGATACAAAAGGTATTCAAGTTTAACTAAAATTAAACTAAACTTGAAAGATTGAATGAGCTCCAAAAACTTCCTGAAACTGAACTGGATTCAGAAAAAATATTCACAACTAAAATAACCCAGTTTGGATCAACAAGTCACCAGCTACTTACCAATCAAATCTCTGGAAAATAGCCATCCCTCAGACCTGTGGATCACAGGAGGGTCCAAAGATTTTTAATAGCATCTGAAGTCTTTAGCTTTCCCCGATGATCATCAGTAATAAATATAGATGTTTAAAGATAACTTATTATTCTATATGAGTTCTGTGACCTTATATCTTATGTCAGTGCTATAGTTGGGTTTCCTTCCTGGCATTGAACAGGCTAAACTTTAGCCTGTTTTTTTAGCTGTGGTTGGTCAGAAGCTGCCAGCGCCGCTCCTTTCATGTGAACACACAGGAGAAACTCTGGCTTAATAGGGATGAGATGCAGGTGAAATTAATGATGGTGGGATTAGCAGAAAGAGTATGAGGCAAACCCTGAACAGTTAAAAAGAAGAAGTGAAAAAGAAAAGACAAGATAAATCTGTGCATTTGTGCGTCAGGTGGAGTCGGAGACGGCCAAGTCGGAGCTGAAGCTCAGTAACACCACGGGCCGCCTGCTGCAGCTGGAGAGGGAGGTCGGCCTGCTGAGGCAGAACAACCTGGAGATGAAGGAGATAATGGTGTCGACTGAGCAGGCGACGCAGCAGGCCAAACAGGACGCCGACGAAGCAGAGCAGGTCTCACAAACGCGCACATCCGTGTTGGTTTGCATGTGAATCCACTCCTGCTGCAGTGCGGTTTTTTTGTGTGTGCAGGAGTTCAATGAGAGGCTGAAGGATAAATTCGCTCAGGTGGAGAACCAGGTGGAGGTTAAAGGGGAGTCGGTGCAGCAGGCGAAGAGGAGGGCAGACGAACTGCAGCAGGAGGCCATAGAGCTGCTCAATCAGAGCAGCAGAAAGCTGGAGAGACTCAAAGGTGAACACTGTTCAGATAAATGTATAATAACTCTGTAGTTTTGTCTTCTGTTCTTTTAAATGAATGCATTTCTAACAAACAAGAAGGGAGTTTGCTCTCTTCCTGTTTGTTTAGATCTGTTTCTTTTTATATTATTGGATCCTCTCCCGTTAAAAAAATACACAGAAGCACATGAAATAATCTGCTACGAACCAGCCGGCTGATCTTGAGTCTGTTTCTGAAGTATGATCAGATATATAAAAATTAAGGAAAAAATATTCCACTTGTGCAAGAAATTTAAACCGTTAAAAAAGACAGTTTTGTTTTTGTGTGGCGTTTTCAGAGTTAGAGGTCTCCTACGTGGACAACCAGCGCATCCTGGAGGCCAAAGCTAAAGAGCTGGCCGAGCTGGAGCAAGCCGCCCGCAACATGCTGGAGGAGATGAGCCGCAAAGTAGCGCTGTACAGCACCTGTTTGTGATGAAACCATCACCGCCTTTGACTTTATTGACAGTGCCAAAGTGTCTGACGTACTGCTCCTACATGCCTGCTCCTTTTACGGCTGTTAAATAAAAACACTAATATATTTGACGTTGCCAAAAAATGTTTCAACGACAGAAAAAAAGCTTTAAAGCTGCCAAAGACCGTTAGAGTATTAAAGTAAGGAGTCCAGAAGGAAAGAAGCCATCATGACCTCGAAGCCAATATACCTGCATACGTTACTACAATCTGTGTTTAATTGTAACTAAATATCTATATTAAAAGGATTAACATTTCACATGTACTTAATAATCCAAAGATATCACTTGGACATGGTGCCTTAACAACCAGCCAATAATAAACCCGACTACAAGAAAAACACATGTCAGCTGGTCTTGTTTAATCTTTTGTGTTCTGGTAAAAAAACAACAACAGTTTTTTTCCTATTATAAATAAATAAAGACCAGAGAAATGGGCTGCACAGCCACAAAGCCTGGAAGACTTGATGATAGAAGCAGCTGAATTACAAAGAAACCTTGAGGGAAAGCTGTGTCTGCACTTCTTTTGATGATCATAGTACAGACAGTTGGGTCTGCAAACATACACATAAGTGTTAGATTAAAACAACACTGTTTAGTTTACACCCAGGTTTCCAAAGTGTCACTACTGGAAGCATGAGGTGATACCAGGACCCTACAGAGGTCACACAGGTAGTCCATATATATGTTCAGATGTCAGAAGGTTTGCTGTATCTCGCAGCACAGTCTTAAGAGCAGGAAGGAAATTCCAGGAGATATGCAGGCACTCTAGAGTTACTCTACAGCCTCCCAAGAGGCCGCAGAAAGCCCCGAACCTATCAGCAAGCCCGCTATCTGCTCCTTTGTGCAAAGAGGAACAGGATGAGCAGAGCCAGAGCTACAAAATGACCTCGAGCAGGACAGTGGTGTGAAAGTCTGATCAGCGAGTCGGAAACAGGCTTCATGCTGGTGCCATAAAGGTGTGACGCCCTCTAGTGGGCCCTGCACTTGCTGCCCAGCACTGTGGAGCCTGATTAATATTTGCCATAGAATACCACCCCTGATGCCCTGAGAGCAGGTTTAGCCTGTCAACGCTTGCCTGCTGTAAGGCACCTGTGCCGAGCTTCTAAAGTGACTCGACTGCCTCTCTTGTCCCTTCAAAATTTGCTGAATCTAAAGCATGCATCACACAGAGTGAAGAAGATGAAAAACTGCAAACAAAAAGAGACATTTAATTTGCATTACTTATCAGATCTGCAGACATTTCAGTTGAAACAAATCCTCATTTATGAAACAAACATTAAATCAAGACATCTGTACACGTGACGACAGTACAACACAGGCTGAACTCCTTAATTACAGCTTTTCTTTAAGAGGTCCATTTATGGAGCTGTCCGAGTCCACAGGACCGACTCTTCGACTCTCTGCTAGGAAAGCGGTGAGCAGTGTCATCGTGCAGCACTTTAAACAGCACAGCAGCATTTATGTGTTTTATTAGCACAGTAGTTTAAATTGTTGGTATGTGTGTTCATGTGAAGCTGCAGATTAGGCTTTATTATGCTGTCAAGGGTAAAAACTGAATTCTCTCCACCACAAGACAACTGAAAGATATTTCTGTGATACTGTTGAGAAACGGCAGCGCGGTAAGGCGTGGCGAGGCAGACTTTTCCACCCAGAAAATGAAGGAATGATCCGCTTTTAAAGATCTGGTGTAAAAGGAGACTTTGAGCTCCAGTATAAGTATTTTCAGTGGTCAAGAGTCACCCGGAGGTCATGGTTCTAGTCCCTGCTGCGGGGGTTGTGTGGAGGCGGAGCTCCTTCCACAGGCGCTGAGCTGGGAACCGAGAGCAGCTGACCGCCGTGCATGCGCTCGTTGACGCGCAGCTGGCAGCCATCCTGCAGCATGCGGACAGCTATCCTCGCTATGTTGCGTGAGTCGTCGAGCCCGGAGTGAGGACGACCTTCGTACGTCAGGCCGAGTTTCTCCAGCATGGTGCTCAGCTTCGTCTGAGTACGCGGCACCTGGAGGAAGAAGAAGAAAATATGGCTGGTTAGCAGTGGAGACCTTTTATCATAGAAGACATTAGGACATGTGAGAAATAGCCAAATCTGTGAGGAGGTTCATGGACGTGACATAGGAAGGCATGCAGAGGGTTTAATGACTAAAATGAGCTGGAACAGTAAGAATACAGTACTGTGAAAAAGTATTTGTTCCCTTTTGCTTTTTTTTTTTTGTTTCTTTGGGCTTTGATGTGTTGCTATTTGAGATATTTTAGCCTGCTTCACTTTGCCAGACAGGTTCTATTTGTGATTTCTTGATTCCACAGGTCTTGCAGTAATCAGAGCTGGGTGTGATTAATGAAATAAGGGTGCAGTTTTTTTTGTTGTTTTTTTTTTTAAACACAGAGCCAGGAGCTTTTTCCCCTAAATAAATGAAATCATCTTTGACTAATATTAAAATTAGGTTTAAAAATCTAAAACATGTAAGCGTGTCTGTACAAAGCTGTAAAATGTACCTTGTAGAAGTTTCCGTATGACTTTCTTATGTTTATCCACTTCTTTGCAAACGGAGGATATTTGATTCGGCTGACCCGACACTGGATGTTGAGGAACTTGCTCATATCCCACGACCTGTGGACGATGTTAAAGAAACGGCGTTGTAAACCAAGTGAGGAGAAGAAAGTAAACATCCTGCAGAAGCTTTGACGTGAAACCCACCCGTCAGTCAGGATGGCGTATTTGTATTTTGTCCCGAGTTCCCTTTTCTGAAGCCACGACACAACTCGCTGCAGGACCACTGGGAACGGGTCTGCTTCTTCGACCATTTTCTACCAACACAACACAGAAAAATGAGTAAATGACCCACACGTGTAATGTGATAGTGACGTGAACTCAACCGACCTGCGTTATTCCCGTCAGCTTCACACAGAAGTCTGAGAGCTGTGGGTTAAGCTCAGGCTTCACGTACTCCTGAAAGGTGTCCACCTGTGCAGAACATTAGAGGAACATCATTATTAACAACAACAGAAACAACAACAACAAAAGACAACTCCTGATTTAAGTCACAATCTTTACTAACAATCTCCAAGGTGTGCGTGTTGATGAGAACCATAGGGAACTCAATGATTTCGTGGAGGAAGTCTGAAGGATTGTCCTCTTCACATGTGGCTTCAAAGTCCACCACACAGATGTAGTCGTAGTACGTGTCGGTGGGGCCTCCCTCTGCCGCCGTCTGCATCAGCTTCTGTTTCTTATAGTGGCTCTTCAATCTCTTCTTCATCACATCCTTCACTCCTCTGCACACACCAAGAGAAAAACTGTTTGATAGAAGACTTCTAAGGGACAAGCACGAGTGTTTGGTCCTCAAACATTTATTAAAAACTCACCGTGTGTCGAGCTTTAACTCCGCTAACTTGATCCGAAGCTCCTCCTTCGTCATGCGGTTGATGTGGCCATTGGCCAAAGCAATCTCTTTGTACACCGGATGGCTGAAGTCACCCTTCGACTGAGACGGGGACACCTGAGGAGCAGATTCTCCGGCAGGACACAACCTGCTGCTAGGCTTCTCCTGAGGAGGAGACGTGTGGGTCGTTATGTGTCAGAAAATGATGTAACTCTACAAATTTGGCCATCAAAAACACAGAGAGCATGGATCAATGGTTTGTTTGGAGGAACAGATCATTTTAGAGTGAAGTCCAACAACACATCAGATAAGATTATCTGCAAAAGAAAGTAGATAGCAGTTTCTGAAATACTCAGACCTATCTACTGGGATTTTCCCACAAAACCATCTCTAGGAGGTAAAAGGAAAATAGGCAGACTGTTCAAACTTAATGCAACCATGCAGAAGAGTAGGAAGGTCAAGTGTACAGAAGAGCATCTCAAACCTAGAAGCAGGAGACGACCACACTGGGTGCCTCTGCTGTCCTCTAACAGGAAACTAGTTCCTTGACCATGACAGTGAGTTCTCTGACCTCACGTGGCCTGCACAGTCACCAGATCTCAATCCAACAGTCGCATCATGGATGAGCACCCACTGTGCGATGCTATCCTGATAACTTGGAGCAAACTTCTTGTTGATTATGTGCCTTTAAGAAGTAACACTGAAGGAAAACGGGGTCTAACCCGAGAATAGCGATCTCTTTAGCTTAAAAAAAGAATAGCTCAGTCAATTAAAATACAACACGACAAGATGAAGTACACAGAGCAAAAGAGAATCGGGGTCGATTTGCAGGGCTCACATTAACAAAACACTGTGATGTAGCTCCCGTCTACTTCAAATATTTTAGTATTAATTACTCCAATACAAGAGTAACTAAAAGTAACGCGGTTTCTAGTCATTTTCATCAAGTCGGCACCTTACCAAAGAACCCAACGGGACATATCTCTCACCAGCCTGTCTTTGGTGTCAATGAACGCACCAGCCAGTTTACTTCAACGCAAACAGCGTTTACACGGAGCAGTGATTCTGCTAGCTCACCCACCTTCTCCTGCTCCTTCACGCTGGACGTCTTCACATTGTCCTCCTGGCCGTGAATGTTCTCCTTGTGTTCGTCCATTTAAAGCTGAGGTTAGTCCAAAAGTTGCTCAGATCATTTGAAAACAACATAAATTGAAGGCTAAACCAGGTCTGCTGCTGCTCCGGCTAGCCTCAACACATTAATGGCTGAAGCAGCTACCGCTAACAAGCGCTGACACGTTCAGTTAACGTCAGATATTTCGCATAAATCAACCACGGGAGTTTTTTTTTTTTTTTTCAGACAGTAAATAATAAGGTGCCTTTGCTAAACCCACATAACAGCACTGAACTTTTCATTTTCATGAGGGGGACAGTTATGACAGCTTCCGCTTTGCGCCAAAACAGCAGCAACAGCGCTCACTATCGCCACCTGCTGCTGCGGATGAACGCAGCAACAGGTGTTTTTTGTTTTTGTTTTGTTTTTTTTCACCCAGGACAGGTGAACTCAACTTTAATGTCAGAATTTCTGAAAATAAATTTAAGAGAAATACTAGGATTTGAAAATCATAAATTTGCACATTGTAATCTTTAATTTTCGTAGCTTGAATTGAAGTCCTTTTCATGTTTTCAGCACTCGGTTAGTAAACACTCATAGTCTGTTTTTGTTGGGTAAAAAAGGTAATTTACTCTATTGGGAATACAGTGTAGCTAGATTTGTAAATAGATGCAGTAACTTTATGTACTAATAATGTAGCTGTTATCTATTACAAATCACCTGTGAACCTACATCGCTAGTATTATAAAAATGTGTTCAATTATTTAGCCAGACCTAACCAGCTGCACATTTTGTTTGTATTCCACTAGAGCAGCTTTGCATGATTCAGACTTCTAAATAATCCTTATTTATGTTTAGTGCAGCCCAACACTTCATCCTCTGTCCAAAACAAGCTCCCCTAGTACCGTTTAAGCAAACTTTCCTCTGATTGGCTGTTAAACAGATTGTTTAAAAGTGGTTGGGGATATATGCCAAATATGACCATATTAGGAATATCCACTTTATTTTACATCATGCAGAGCCAAGAAAAAAACTGACACCAGACATTTGAAGCAGTCTGAAGCCTGAGCTGCTGGTTCACAGGGATTACTGATGTATACACCGACTTCATTATCAGACCTGCTTATTATGAGCATCCATCACTGGAACAGTGCAAATAAAGTGCTATGAAAAAGAATTATGTCCCTTCCTTAGTTTTTTGCGTATTTATCAGAATTCATGGTTCCAGCAGTAAGAAAGGCAGGGTACTATCTAACTGAATAGTAAATTTCTAATTATTTTAGTATAGTTGCCGTATATAATTAAAAAAATATTTGAAGCAGATATATGTAATAAAACTAATTAGAGATATTTGGAGGCAGTGCTCCTGTTTGGCCGCTAGTTGTCACTATAGCTCTATTTAAAGCCACAAACCATTGATGTTTTCACTGTACACATCTATACAGTATGAACCCTTTGTAAGCCTTTGTAAGGGGAAAACACTTCACAAAACATCATCGCCAGAGGTCAGCAAAACCAGAAAACTGGAAATTCTGGCGCTGTGCAGCTAATGATAACTGGAAATCCTGGGTGGGGCTGCTGCTGCTTTGATTTGACGTTTGTCTCTGAGACAACAGAATGAAAATGTCTGTCTTAATGAAAAGCAATAAAGGACACCTGGCGTTCAATTTAAGATCCATCTGTGCCTGCAAATCCTAAATTACTTCCCTTTGTTCGCCTGCACTTGAGTTTTGCAGAAGATTCTAATGGATTTTTAAGCATCCATGAATTTAAACTGAAGACAGCAGTGAAATTGAATGCAGTTAAATCAATGTCGTTTCTAAAAGCTTATCCAGCTGCTTTAAGTCGAAGTGATTTACACCCTGGTTTATGCATGTATTCCTTATGAAGCTTGCAGAGCAGTATGATCTTCACAGTTGGATTACCATAATCAATAAGAAGCTCAGATTTTTTAATTTTTTTTAAAAAAGGCACCTTGATAGAAAAACAATGATTTATTTTATCATCTGAAAATATAATAATAATACAGTTATAGAAAACCCATAACCAGAAACTAATGCACAGAAATAAGAAAAGAAAAAGACAAAGAAAACGCACACACACCATGAACTCAGAGCTTTGGAGAGGAGGTGCACGTCTCTCCTAACAGAGATAGTGTTTGAATCAGTTTGCAAAAAACATCAAAGATGATCTTAGGTTTCATAAAAACCTCCATATTTGGCTTTTTTTTCTTCTTAGAATAGAGAAAAACAGAAGGACACACAGAAGAAGAAAAAACAGGCTGCACTGAAAAGGCATCAGTCCTATTTTTTAACCCCCTCGTCATCATCTTCATCACAGTGAAATGGGGTCGGGGAGCTACATTTTTCACTTCCCTCTGTCCAGTCTGCGATGCTGCATTCAAGTCACGTGTGGGAAAGCGGCTATCGCTGCTGGGAAACATGCTGCTTTAATGTTTGAACAGACGCTTATTTCAAGTAAAAAGAGAAAAATCTTCAGCCTCTCAAATCTTCTAAATATCAGAACAGAGCGTCTGAATGCTGCCATGTTTTTTTCCCCCTGGACATGAACGCAGCACAGCATCAAAGGCTTCACACACACATACACACACATTGTAATTTGTTCTGATCACCTCTCCAGAAAAGGCCATCTAATGATCCAGGACTTAAAAAGTGAAGCCTGCATGTGATCACCTGTCAACTTTAAACAATTTCAAATCGGCATAATTTCACCTTATTTCCCTCCACGTGCACCAAACTGCATCACGCGTTAGTGTTCTCTCTACATGTGTCGTGTGAGAAAACAGGCTCTGCTTCTCAGCTATCTCTTGATGTTAGTACAAGGTTTCCCTTCTCACTGTTAGAGGCTTTAAAAAGCTTTCAGAAGCAACAGTTACCTGAAAACACAAACATCATAACAAAATAACCACAAAACACCAAATTAACAAGAGATGAGGCAGTTAAGCAGCTTTCACTTCAAAACAGGCAGCCTGACATTTTGGGAAATAGTCACTTTTTTTTGTTTTTTTGTTTTGGTCTATTCAGTGTGAAGTTAGAGCCAGAGGACGGAGATGTTGGCCAACTATAAGACAAGTAACCAGTCCCTGGTGTTTTTGAACACATTAATCAAATCAGACGTGGTGACCAGCAGGTGAGTGCGACAAACGGGTAAAAGAAACTTGGCGGTAACCAGCAGGGAGGTAAACCGGCTTGTTTCAGACAGAATGAAGCAATGCAGAGACGCTGTCTATCTCTATGTCCCGCCCCCGGTTTTAACCGTTTCCATCTGGGAGCCTGTTAGGAGTAACTCTTGATTCTTTTACCTGAACTGAGGAGTTTCTGTCATATTTCAGGCTACTTCAGACTAAAATGACTGTGTATCTATCAGAAGTTAATGAAGTGGTCTCTGGCTGTACAGGAACGTATTGTCTAACAGCCTCTTTATTGATTACAGATGTGTCAAAACTTGTCATTACAGGAAATGTGGAGATCGTTGAATGTCATCTTAATGGGGAAAGAGTTAGAGAGGCCATCGTTTTGTTGCCCAGTAAATGACAGGTGTATCTGATCATTATCTTGGTAAAAATGAAGCTGTGTGCACATTTTAAACAATTTTTCTCGTTTTACTGCATTTGTAACAAGAACTGTGAGGAAATCCGTTCAGCGCTCTGGCAGGAAACGCTGATTGGGAGGGTCGGAGCTCTTGACCAAAACACCAATAAAAACATAACTTGCAGGAATGTGAACATTTTAAGCTCATTTTGGACAAAAGTCTCCTGGTAGGTTTAAAGAAGGGCTTTAAAATAACTGCATGAAGTCGTTTCCTGAGCAGCGGCTGCTGTGTTCTCAAAGCACCGTGACCAAGGGGCCGCATCGAGGATCGACTTTGAGATAAATAAGGATTATTGTGAGGATTCAAAGATACACCAGAAGACTGAACAATAATAATTATGGATCAGGGGAAAAAAAAAATCAAGCAGTTGAGGTGAGCAGAATCATGAAGCTAATTCATTAAATTAACGCATAATTAGGAGTATTTTTTCAAATTTATAATCATTTAGTTACTGTGAGGTCAGATTTGGGCAATAAAAATGAAGGAGGGCGATAAAAGCAGGTTTGGGCATCACTTTTCACTGCAGCTGTAGCTTAAAGGTTTTATTTTCTTACAGCAGATATCTTTCACAGCACGTCCATTAATGATCTCTCCCGGCTCTAGCTGCACATCTACCATCCAGATTTGAGCCTATTTTCCAAAATGTTTAACTGTTCCTTGAAGAACTACATTACAGAGACACACGAGTAAGTGCACAACGCACACGAATACACAGATTTACACACTGATAGAAAACAGCTTAAAACAATGTGCAATCCCAGACTTCAAACTGTCGCTTTGAAGAAGATGCTGAATTTAAAAAAACCTCACATAAATACAGAACAGCAGCGAGAGAGAGACAGAGGCGCGGTGCGAATGAACCTTCAGGTGGATGTGTGTTTGTGTTTGTCACAGCGAGCTTGGTGTGCACATTCAAATCAGGTCCACTGGACTCATAACTGACAGTTTGTGTGGAGGTGGTGCTCTAACAGAAACACATCCCTTTAAAGGACAGGAAAAAAATAACGTGTTATTCCATGCCCTGATGTAATCCCGCTCATTTATATTTAGACTTCAGTGTGTGTGTGATGCCGGTGCCACCAGAGTCTCCTGGTGACCAGATGAAAGCAGCTGAGCCGATTTATCTTTTGTTGGCCCTGCAGATCTGCAGCAGAGCAGCCACGTTTTCATGTGTGCACCTTCAGAGAGTTCCGGTTCAGGTCTTGAGCGTTTACGGTATGTCCGTTTACGTGTTCTTGGTGAGGCTCAGAGCCTTAAACCGAGTCACCGTGGAGCCCAGAATCATTGGCTCATGTAAGGCTACATGTTGATTTCCTCCCCACACTGGTCTCAGTGCGGGAGGAGCAATCGTTCCAAAGCGCACTGCAAATGTTCCCAGTTCTTCCACAGCAGCGCTAGCAGGGACACGCCCACGCAGGTGAGCGCCAAGTGGAGGCGACTGCGCAGCAGCGGGGCGGTGAACTTGGCCGCAGTGGACACGCACACCAGGATGACGGTGACGATGGCCAGCATGATGTTGATGCACTTGCCCAGCAGCACTTTGGCGTCCGTGTTTTCCAGCTGGATGGTTTGCTGCTGCTGCTGCTGCTGGAGCTCGAGCTTCGACACGCGAGTCTGGCACGACTCCAGCACCTCCTACGACACATGCGCGCGCGCACACACACACACACACACACACAGAAAAATGGTTAGAGATCAGGGAAACTCTGGAGAGCAGTGAGTCACAGCGAAAGGGCAGCAAAACTGGATCGTGTATGAACTTCAGCTGCATTAGAAACAAGCGCAAGAACGTCCGATTAGAAATAGGAAGCAATGGAGGGACTGCTGTGGCTTCAGTGTGACATGTCATGAGAGACATGTCATCAATTAATCATTTGGACGCTCAGAAATTTGTAATTAAAACCTCCCCGAAGTGAAAGGAACAGATTCAGATTAATTATTTCTCCAAAATGCTAATCTTCCAGTGATATGAATGGGGGGGGCTCCTCTCTCCTTTAAGCGTTCTTGTAGCAAACCCATTAACCACAGTGAGCATGCCGTGTGGATAGGCCTGTCGTCATCCTGGCAGAGACCACTTTTACCAGGATAGCCTCAAATGATGAAGGTACACTACGCAGTGACCTTTCCCACTAAGGGGTCAAACTCGTCTAAACTGAACACTGTAAATAAGGCAATAATACATTAGGCCTTTCAATTAAACTTACAATTTGAGTAAGACATTGGTTACTTAAAGGGTTAATCCTAAATTCTAATCTTAATCAGCCGTGTGCTGTGGCAGTGGTGGGGGCTTATGCCCAAACATAAGTCACCTGTATGTCCCTGGCCCTCTCATAGGCCTGGTAGGCCACCTTCTCCTCGATGCTGGCCAGCTCCTGCTTCAGATTGCTGGTCTCGTGCTGGTGCAGCTCCGTCAGGTCATTCAGCTGGTCCTCCAACCGCTCATACCTGACAGACAGAAACACCCACAAACATGCAGAGTAGGTGGAGGCGGAGAGAGCCAAGGAAAGAGAAACAATGCATTATTGAGAGTGTGTGGGCACGTAACAGTACAGCAGTGTATCTGCTGCAGCCGAGCTGCTCAGAGCATTTGCCCTTGGTTGGGGGGTTTACGTGTAAGCTCTGCCGGCTATTTTTAGGCTTTTAATGATGGACTCCTAAACTGTCAAAAGCTCTCTAAAGTTCAACAGCTCATGTAATGACAACGTTGGCTCTGTTAGGATAGAAATGCTACCATTACTGAAGCACCGAAGTGTGAAAACATCTTCATCCAACAATTATGCCACAATTTTACTTGATACAGATCAGTGATCCTCAAACCTTTTGCCTTCTGAGCAAAAAACCTCTGCTAGCATCCCCCGGTTAGCTTCAAAGCAATGTGCAAACCGCTTTTATTTTGTATTTCGTGTTTATAGTCGTACAAATCGTTGTGCAAATATTCTTGTGACATGACTGCAGCACACATATTCTGACAATAAAAGATATAAGGAAAAAAGACCCTTCCACAAAACAAAAACAGCATAATTTGTTGAGCAGACATATTTTACACAGTATAATATTTCTCTTATCTTTCTCAGTTCAGTGTTTTATTGGATTTTCTGATTTAATTCAGAGCTCAATAATACAAGTGATTTTACAAGTCATAGTTAATATAGTGGTGATAGCTTCGCAGAGACTCTGAAGACAGCAGTTAAACATTTTAATGTCAGCTCTGGAGATAAATTTATAATTTTTAATATTAGGCTACATAAAATTAACATTTTTATGTTGGCTCTGTGAAGTTTTGTCCAGCCTGAAAAATGTGTCGCAGTCAGGGATTCATTAAGTGAAGGGGAGGATTCACAGTTTGTGTAAGTGAGGCAGGAAACTGCATATTTCATCCTCTACTGATTAAATTTCAATTGTGATTTGTTCCCCCTCTATCTCTCCAATTTATGGTGTTGAAATAAATTTTAGATATTAAGAACTGAAATGGGTTTTTAATTACTTGTTTCAGGGGCGTTTAAGGTGTTAACACTGAACTGTTGCTCACTCAAAGCCCGAGGGGCTGACTTTATACTAATGGGTATATTTAAGAAAGAAACATGTGAGTCTGTGCCCTATTATCTGTAAAATGTTCATGGAAGAGTATTTAACCATCATGTGTGGGTAACAATATTCTCCTCTCCCAGAACAACACAAAATATTCTGTTTTGATCTGTGACGCAAAAAAGAAACACTAAAAAAAAAAATCTTTCCACAGTGAGAAACAATCTGCCCTCAGTACCAGGGAAGAAAAACAAAGAACAAATCCTCTAAAGCTCCTTATAAGCAACCAAATGTCATTTTATTTTTCTTGCACCTCAGTTTAGGAGATTTTTCTTTTCTTCAAATACTATATTTTTGGCATTTCTCATTTTAATGCTGGTGACAGCGGAGATGTGAAGCATTTAAAAATAGTACTGGAGCACACAAGCTTTTCCCCCTAAAACCTCCCTAGAAATCACGAAAAAAAAAAAGAAAAAGAGCAAAAAACTAATAAATATGTCAAGAATTTTTTTTTTCTGGGAGAAAAGCCTTCCTTAGACTCGTGATGCTGTGCTCACCTGTATCGCTCCTCCTGCATCACCTGCGTGAAGTAGTTGTAGTCTCGTTTAAACTGTGTGTTCAGAGTCTCCATGTCCTCTGCCAGCTGCGTTTGAGCATCCCTGATGTCCCGCACCATGTCCAGCACCTCCACTAGGCGCCCGCTGGAGTCAGACCTCCCTGGCCCCCCTGACTCCGCCCCCGATCCTCCTGCCGGGTTCCCGTTGGAGTCAGCGGATGCAGACGTCCCGGTGGAACACTCATCGTCGCTCTGGTACTTGGTCGCCTTGGCTACTGTGGTAGCGCTGCCACTCAGACCCCTCGCGCCGCCCTCCACCTGCAGCCCTGACCCCGTTTCCATAGAGCTTTTCAGGTGAGCAATGTTGTCAGCGCTGCCAAACTTGTTCCTGATGAGGTTAGCGAACTCCCGCGGCTTACTGAAGAAAAATGGAGGTGAGAGCGACACGCCGGGCCCGATCGTCTTCACCTTATCCAGTGCCTGGTGGCGCCCGGTGGTGCTGACGTCCCGCAGGCTGCCCTCCTTGCTGTGAGTCCCGGACTCCTTGCCGCCGCTGTCTTTCTGGTTGTGCTTCCCATTGGTCTCGCTGTCCTTCATGCGGCGGTGGTACTGCTCCAGCTTCCTCTGCAGCCGACCGATGGTCTGCGCAGACTTCTGGTTCTTCTTTTCAAACACCTGCCGTATCCGCGACACCTGCTGCTTGTCGGCATTGTTCATAAGCTTCAGGTACTCGGCCACGTTCTGGTCCCGAGCCGTCTGCTCCACCTTAATCTGCTCCGTCACCTGAAGGCAGAGCCAAATGACAGATGTGAAAACAGCTGCTGAAGATTTAAAATCATTTAAGCATGCATGATACCAGCGCTTCTGATTCTTACTGACACCCCGATTTGTTCTATGAGTTTGCTCATCTTTCACACGGGTATGTTAGAATAAAATAATGCTGCATGAATACTGACAGCAGCCCTGTTTGTCTTTGAGCTCACTGATACTAATTTAATTTGGCCCCCCACTTCTGATCCCTAATGATAATTAGCCACGAGAGGAGACGTTAACACCTGCTTTTCTTTGCTTGTGAAGAAGTTATCCTGTGTAAACAGAGCTGGTCTTAAAGGCATCTCTAAACCTCCTCACACGGGCGTTTCCTCAGAACAAAACAAAGTTTTTTTAGCCTCCTGTTGCTAAAAGGTAGCAGTCAATGCGCCCCTCAGTCATGTGATCGAGTTTACTCCAACCATGGAAAGTTTAAAAATTACCATCTGATACTGATGCTACAGATCAAACTGTTTTCTCTGGTCTGCTTTCATTCACTGTATTTGTTTCTTTGTGTATATTCCTGACTGGGAGCAGCAGTTCATCACATTGTAATAATAATTTCACTGTTAGGTTATTGTTGAAGTCTCAAAATACTTTTGCTCGGATAAACCAGTGAATATACAGCATGCAGCACGAGTTCAGCTTAGTCTCTACAGTTGTAAAACGTTGATATTAAAGTGCAGGATAAGCCTCTACTGTGAAAAACACTTCTAATTTCTAAAGACAGGACTGAGACGGACCTGAGTCGATTTTTTCTTTCCCCGTCGTATCAGAACTGACATTTAAAGGACATTTAGTCCATTACTGGATTAAAAAAAAAAGCTGCTTCTGTTGCTTGACGTGTCACCAAACAGAGCTAAGGAGATATTTTAGTTTGTCTTTTACTCAAGTGTGGTGCTTGAGTTCTGAGTGCCAATGTGTCCCATGTGTACCCACAGCTTTTCAAATTAAACACGATAAATTTACAGACACACACTGAAGCAGGTGTGCAATGTTTTCCTTCTTACCTTGAGGATCTTCTGCTGCAGGCTGTCGATTCCCAGCGGTCCTTTGGTGAAATCCAGACCCACGCCGTCGTGCCCAACACCGTCAACCACGTCTAGGTTGGACTCTGAGCCGCCGCGGCGAATGGGCACCGGGATGCTGAGGACATCGCAGCCGCTGCGCTCCGCCTGCAGACATAATGATCTAATGAGTGTATAGGTTTTTATTTTTTGGGTTGGTCTGTACAATATAAACACAATAACGTGTCAAAAACCACTGTGCTAATTTGTCTTTCATATGACCGACTGGGCCATTCATGGCTTGAAACCCAGAGGCAGACAACAAACTGCCATTTCTGATGCCACAAATACTCCCACTGTTGATAATATCCGACTGAGACTAACATTTACTGAGAGTTGGATAATGCTGCATTCAGACAGCATTTCTCAAGTGGAAGTGATGTTAAAAGAAGCAGATGAGACACAGATTTTTACATATTTTATACCCAATATTCATACTGAGCAGGTATATTAATCTCCATGGTTACCACCTTAGTTTGTAATGATATCTGTGGGACTGCAGTAAACCAGAAAATCGAAATTTTGACCGTCACAACTAGAACGGAGAACTCAAACTCGGCTTCATTAGGAGCAAACATGCCAAGATTGTTGAGGTATAGAAAATGAAATGGTTCAGTTTAACAGAAAAAGAAATGTTCTTGTTGCATTGCACATAAACTGTTTCACAAACAAAAAACAAAAGTGCAAAAATTACTAGCAAAAATTTGGCTAAAAAATAAAAAGATCTTAGCCCGTGTAGGCCCATACAACCCATCCTCCTAGCATGAAATTGGCTGCACATAAAAACCTAAAATTGCAAATTAACTAAATTGCACTCAGTGACCTCCTTGATTTAGCCATTTCCTCAACTATCATTAAACTCGCCTCTGCTGCTCCATTACATTGAAATGTAGCTTGAAGGAACCTATTCTGATCTAGCTGCACGCCTCTTTTTCTGGGGCTTTTACTCCTCTGTGGCTCCATCTCTCTGCTGGTGTGTGATATCAAAATGAGGCAAATTCTATTATCTGAAACACACACTCTACACATTGTAAAGCAGTACTCAGAATACAGGCTGACCTGTAATTGCCTGCCCTCAGCATCAGCTTTCCTTTTTATATGCCATTTCCTGCTAACTAGCTTGTATGCTTGCAGCTGCAATAGAGGTTCGCCAGTTTGGCCACAATTTATTAAGAAACCGAAATGTGCATATCTGCGGGCTTGATTAAAATGAGTGGCCTGTGGGTCTTGAGTTTAACACATGAGTACACTTGAGTGACCAAAGTTATTTAATTAAATCACAAGTTAACTGGTTCAAAATCTCTGTACACCTAAATGTGTAACAGCTTACAATCCCCATCATCCTCAAATTTAATCGCCTCATTATGTGATTACAAGCACACACATGTTAAGAGTTCACCAGTTACTATTCTCCAACAAGATGCTTGAATTCTACCTGGTGTGTGTGTGTGTGTGTGTGTGTGTGTGTGTGTGTGTGTGTGTGTGTGTGTGTGTGTGTGTGTGTGTGTGTGTGTGTGTGTGTGTGTG